CCATCAAGACAACTTAACTTTAAACTGTTACTTCCAGCTATCAATACTGCTTTCCCCAGTGAAACGTCATCTTGTCTGAATCAGGAGAAAAACAGGCAGAAACATGTTAACTGATGAACTGGAGTCATGTGGACCATTGTGATGTTTTTAATCAGCTGTTTGGACTCTCATTCTGACGGCACCCTTTCACTGCAGAGGATCCACATGTGCGCAAATGATGCAATACTAAATTTCTCCAAATCTGTTCTGATGAAGAAATAAACCCATCTACATCTTGGATGGCCTGAGAGTGAGTAACGTTCCAGCAAATTTTCATTTTTGGGTGAACTATACCTTTAATAAGAGAAACTACGGCAACAATTACAATTTTTGGGTGAACTATCCCTTTAAATGTACTCTTGTTTTCGCCCTACCACAAGTTGATATCTCTACTAGTGTTGGGTTTGAGTCAACCCAAGTAGAGTCCGAGACAAGTCCGAGTCCAAAATGGGCCGAGTCGGACTCAAGTCCGAGTCCCAAACAGCCAAGACCGAGTCGAGTCCGAGTCCAACGAAACACTATTATTTATTAGTATCTTAACATTGTTTTAACCTTTACAACTAGAAAAAATGCAATATCCATTTAAATGTAACAAAAGCAAACCTCTATTGTATCTTGCCATTTAAATGTTTTATTAATAATTAGTGTCCTGCTTTGCTTCGCAAACTTAAAGTCATGTAACAGAAGTTATGGCTGAACTGCTTTATGTATTGTGACATATTTCAGAGTGAAACAGGTTTTAAAATGTGAAAAATCAAAGGGCGGGACTTGACTTTATTAATCATTAATATAAATGTATAAATTCAAGGGTGGGGGTATCTTGGAAATGCACCTTTTATCTCAATAAAAAAAACAAGCTTTATATAATTTTTAATGAAATATGAATTTTGAAAAATCTAAATTAGTTTGTGTCAGCTTATTCTATTCATCAGGTGTTTGAACCATTAAAAAAGAAACCGCATTTTAATTTCTGCGTTAAAAAAAAGAAAAATAAATGGACACCAAAGTACACGGACCCCTTAGACAGGGCATTTTGGATTTTTCCTTGGATGAAAATGAAGCTGTGAGGTATAAACCTGGTCTGTACAATGGCACACACTGTGTATAAAAGCCCAACATATACTTTCCATAAGTCACAGCCAACTCACACCTGTTTTATTTTTGAACGCATTTATAGTTATTTACAATAAATTACATTATGTAAGAAATAGGATTACTGATGAAGGGCCGTTGAATTATTAGAAAATAAATGTACACCCAAGCTGTTTTTGGATCCATAAAAACTATTGCCACAAAGATGTTAGAAAAATGATTTTACTTTGAAGCTAGAACCTCAAAAATTCAATACAAAAGCAAAAAATAATAAACTAATGTAATAAAACATTCTCAAGCTTACTGAAGGCAAGTAAACACTCCAAGTATTACTTACAAGCTAAATGATAAATAAATATATTTCTCAATTGTTGTTGTTTTTTTTTTTTTTTAAGTTTTTCAGATAGTCTAGTAAAGGCTTCTACAGAAATAGCCTACTACAGACATTTCATGATGCAATAAATGTAAAAATAATATTCACTGTATACATTAGATATAGATTCTTATTAAAGTTAATAAGTGATTCAGTCAAGAGCAGTGAGTGATTTTCTCCTTTTCTTTTGTTTGATTAACATTTATGACGCTGTCGGCGGCTGCAGGTTTATGCTGTTGATCTGATGCATAGATCAAATATTTTGACAGATCCGTATTTCTCCCAACTGTTCAAGTTCACTTAAGACAAAACTGACTGCATTTATATGAAAAGTCTCCAAGACGGGCATTTTGACATAACTTTTCGTGTAAGTTTGTAGCAATAACAGAACTTAAGAGAACTCGGCATTCGCACGCTGACTGAGAGACTGAGAGGTGCGTTATTCTGTGAGCGCGCTTTCGGTGTGTGAGCACAGTAACCCGTCGGCTTTCAAGTACTGGACAAGACTTAAAAACACATGCAAATACTGAATATCACTTTTGTGATAATGCATCGAGTCAGTGACATTTCCGTCAACTGTCCCTGGACTCGGTTGGACTCTGACATATTTTCCGAGTCCAAAAGTCTCGAGTCCGAGTTAAGTTGGAGTAAAAATGCATCCGAGTCAGTGACAAGTCCGAGTCCTTTAAAAAAACTGTACTCGAGACCAGACACGAGTCCGAGTACCCCAACTGTAATCTCTACTATTCACCTCCACTGATCTCTACATGATCGAATCCTCTGAGCCAAGAGATCTCACAGTTCCGGGTGTGATGGCAAGAGAGTAACAGGCTCATGGGCTCTAAAAGCATCACTTCCCAATCCTCCCATAATCCTGTGTCTAATACAAACGCACATGGATTTATCATTTAATACACTTAAGAGGGATTTCTCACATCTCAATAAAAATGCAATGAAAAGCACAGCTTAATAGCACAGTAGGCTTTAGCTAAATCGCTTTAAAAATAGTCACTGGACAAAACTGGGTTTCCGCTCCTCATAGCTATTGTGTAATTAATAAGCAGGCAGTGGGTGCCAGCAGGACTTTGCATGGATACAGCTTTGAGTAAGGACAATTAGGGCCACGGTTAAAGAAAAAAAGGCCCATAACACTTGGCGGACAGTGGGATGAAGCTCTGCTCTTCAGAGCCATACAGTGGGAGTGTCACTGAATCTTTGCCACCGTCCCAGAGCCAGGCACAGTATGGCCACTGTGGAGTCAAAAATAATGGCTCTATGCCTGTGAGGACTGGACCTTCTTCTGAGCCTCCACGTGCTGTAGTCCCTGACAGCGGTCCAGCTGTAATCTCTACAATGACAGAGGATTGCAAATAAAAGAAAAGAAGAAAAAAAAAAAAAGGAAAAAAAATCATCCACATCCTTTGCATGGAGATCTGGAAATTTGCGGGGAAGGAAGAGAGGGCACTGTTTTCTGCCTGCCCAACAACTTCATTTCTCCACAATCCAGAGAACAAAAGCAGGCCTCTCGAGGGGTGAACTTTTACCCCTTCTAAACCTATTTACTACAGAGGCCACAAACACTTAAATGGCATGCTTTTAAAATCCAGGTTAATTACTTTCCCCCCCCCCCTTATCTCCTGATACGGTCTGAGGTTATAACATTGCAAATCTTGTAATCTAAGCCTAAAGCTGAGTGAACCAACTTCTAAACCAGCAGTGCTGTATCGGCCAAGACTGCAATCTGTTTTCCATTTGAGTGTCAAGACAGCATCCACACTGGTGGTTGACAAAAGCTGTTATTTCAAAATGATTATATACTAAAAATTGTGTGAGGATTTTGGTAAGTTTATGAACTATTTCAGTTAAGGGGAAAGAACTGAGCACAGCACAGCATAGCATTTAAAAAAAAAAAAGAAATAGCTAGGCTATTTAGCAAACACTTCTACTGGAACGTAGAAGCGGGAACACCATTCACCCGGAGGGAGAGGGTTATGGTTTTCAACACAAGGCATGTTTTCAGCATTAGACCAATCGTTGCAGGAGTACAAAGCCAAACCGTCAGAGCCTGTCTCCATGTCGGGGCAGACACGGCGCATTTGGCTGCATAAGTGCCGGCAGAGCAAAGCTCTAGTCTTGGAACGGCTGGGATGGTGGTCTCCATCAAAGTGTGCTGAAGACAGACTTCCTTATTCCATTTCCTCGGGAGGAAATATTGAGTTAAGATTTGCAGCAGCAGCGGAGGAGTTCGTTTTAAGAGGTGGCAGACGTAGCTGAGGGGAGGAGAGGAGCCAATAACTGATGCGCCCTGCTCCCTCTCACTCCCTCAGGGGGCATATTTCTCACAGATTGCAGTCCGACTCTGTCAGGGGTCCAAAGTTGCAGGTCTGGCCCTCTGGAGCCAACCGGGTCGGTCAGTCAGACAGCAGGGTTTGGCAATCTCTCTCCAGACCACTCCCTGGCCCCATCAGACCTTTGATGCAGGTTATTATGTATAACAAATTACAGGTTTTCAAATGTACTTAGGATTTGTACCTCATAATATCTAAATGTTGCACACACTGAGGGATGTGGCTTGGACTCCACCGCACTTTAAAATGGGAAAATGCCATAAACCAGACAACGACGGAACATTCCATTAGCACATAGGTTTCACCTCATGAAGAGTTTTACATGTCTCCACTCGTGTCGCGCACACCAGGAGATGGTGATACAAGTCTCTTATATCCATAAAACTTCACTTGGGGAAAAAATGCAAAGATCTTAAATGCCCCTAACCTGCATTCAACCTCAACTGACCCTTCTCAAATGAACAATAAAAAAAATTAAAACTGACCAAAAGTCTACACTGTACAAAAATTATTTCACAGCTGACACCTTCACAGTAACAGCTAAATGCAATAGTTGCAACAACTAATCGATAAAATTTATTTAATAACATAGATTTGAACAAAACTTAAAGGGAAACAATAGTGTTGACAAAAATATTCATTTTGATGACAAATGTGTGTGTGTGTATATACACTACTGTTCAAAATTTTGGGGTTGGTAAGATTTTTGTTATATTTTTAAAGAAGTCTACCATGCTCACCAAAGATGCATTTAGTTGATCAAAAATAGAGTAAAAAGGGTAATACTGTAAAATTATTATTATTATCATTCAATAATATATTTATTAACATTTTGATCAATTTAATGCATAAAATCTTTTCCAAAAAAATTCTTAGTGTATGTGTATATAGATAGATATATAGATAGACAGACAAGTGAGATTATAACAAACGGAAATAAATTAAGCATTTTAGCAATGAACAAAAAATGCCTCTGCTTTTTATATACGCATTGTATAATTGTGTCATCAGCCGCAGCTTGTGCTGAAACTGTGCTTGTGTGTAGCTGGAAAACAACCAGATGTGACCTGTGAATATGAAAGCTCCGGCACCAAGTGAGACACTAGGCCGAGCTGACAGTGGAAGTGACGTTGTCGCTGTGCACTCACCCCAAAGAGCCCGTGCTCTTGCACACGCCGAGGAGGGGCCGTTTCTCAGCAAAGCTGTCAGTGTTGAGGGAACCTGCAGCCGGAGGGACAGAAAGGGGAACATTAACCACTGACCCACATAAAGAGGGACATTCATTAGCCACCCACACATGAGGCCTGTTGTCTCTCCGCCAAAGCCACGCACCCACCGAACTCGAGCATAAAAAACAGCTACCGCAGCAGGAAGCGTGTTGATTGCATTACAAGAGATCTATAATCAAAATTACGCCTTGAAAACGTCCTAAAATTTTTTAAAAAAATACAAACTTTCCTGTCAGCTTTGACATGCGCACACCCTCACTTGGAAGAGATGAATGCCCTGTTCCTCACAGAGACTTATGGGGATCATAATGAAACTAAAATACCAGCATGCAAGACATTAAATGGAGACAGAGAACAGAAACGCCACTCAGTGCAATGTGTTGAATGCAAACCATTTCTCCTCCGACTCTAATGGAGAAAGCCTTCAAAGCTTTAGGAGGAGTCTTTTGTCTGACTGCACATGAGGCCTGTTGTCTCTCCGCCAAAGCCACGCACCCACCGAACTCGAGCATAAAAAACAGCTACCGCAGCAGGAAGCGTGTTGATTGCATTACAAGAGATCTATAATCAAAATTACGCCTTGAAAACGTCCAAATTTTTTTTTTTTAAATACAAACTTTCCTGTCAGCTTTGACATGCGCACACCCTCACTTGGAAGAGATGAATGCCCTGTTCCTCACAGAGACTTATGGGGATCATAATGAAATTAAAATACCAGCATGCAAGACATTAAATGGAGACAGAGAACAGAAACGCCACTCAGTGCAATGTGTTGAATGCAAACCATTTCTCCTCCGACTCTAATGGAGAAAGCCTTCAAAGCTTTAGGAGGAGTCTTCTGTCTGACTGGCTTTAATTTCAAGGCTTCGGAGGAATTACATAATGGCAAAAGGCCGGTAGGCATATTTTGGGTGGAGAAAGCATGTGAGTTTACAGATCCCATATTTATCTAATTCTCTTGATTTAAAAGAGATGGGGGGAAAACTTCCATTCATGTCCGGATAGAAGAAGAAGATGTTAGCCTTTGTGGAGCTGTAATTTGGGCAGCCATGCCATGAAACTAATCAGCTCCAGAAACGCACGGACCCTGTGGCGTGGCATGTGAGTGCAAATGTGTCATTCTCAAACCTTAACACTTTAAAGGGCCTCTCCTCTGTCTTCACTTCCCTGTCATCAGACATTGCGACTGGTCACGATATCCAATCATAATGCAAATACGACTGGCCTCTGAAAGACAACAGCTGCCTTCTATTTGAAAGAACAATTAAGGGGCAGAAAACCACCCCGTGCTCCTCTCCATCCGTAGCTGTGCACCTCAAAAACGGCAGGACTTCGAAACAAGTGGTTTTCATTTGTATTTTCCAATGCATGTTTTCAATTTATGCTGCAAAATATTGAGGGAATTGTTTTCTGGAAGTCAGACATAACAAATTTCCTGTGTTTCAGTAAATAACATTTATAGGAGGGCCATTTACGAGTGAGCTTTCAACAGTGGGATACATTTAAAGAAAGAGGAAGCAATCACAGAATTTTGGTCAGCTGTAGATATGACCGCCGTCCGTAGCTGTCACCTGGAAACGAATCACTGCAAAAATGACAACAGAAGTCAGAAACAGAACGGATGCAGGAAAAAAAAGTCAGTTTGCCTCTTTAGAGAAAGAGGAACTTCCTCCTTTATTCTGGGAAAGACCTTGCCTTGTTAAAATTGACACCTATTTTCAGGACTTTCCAAATCCGCTCACCAAGCTAAAACAATTACTCTTTTTACATCCCACTACAGTATGACACTGTTTGCACCAAACAGATCACAATCAGTTTCCCCACTTGTACAATTCATTTGATTTAGCTGAGAAGCGTTCTCCTCATGTGTCGGCCGTCTGCTGCTTCTTATTATGACAATTCTCTTTTATCTGAATCCAGCCGGCGTTCAATGCCTTTATTGTGCATTGTTTAAATCTGCCGAAAGCACAGAAAACTAATTCTGTGCATAAATGTCACACTACAATACGACTCAGTGCATTTCCTATTCCTTTTGTTTTTACATTTTAATATGACAAAGCCACTTATTTAGTGAGGGCTGAATTAAAAAAAATCTCACTTCATTTCTGAACAGATAATATCCTGTTTTAGTCACAGAAAGTGTGCAAAATCATCAGACAGGAAGAAACAAAATGTGAAAGAGACAGTTTGACATAACATCAATATTTAAGCATACCTAATCAGGTTGCGTGTATTTTAGTTTAGTAAGCTGTAGTGTGCATTTTTTGTCAGACTATTCATTTTCGTCCTTTAACAAATGGAATGAGCGCAGGCATGCGATGGCCAATGAGTGAGCCGTGATGAAAGAGAAGGAAAATCTCAGAAGTCTGCAGATCCTCTCTGCCAGAGTGGCGGTAAAAGTCCAGGCATCCAGCTGACAGCATGCCAACATAATCGTGAAGGACTGATTTTAATATTATGATGGGAAAACAGTGGGGCTCTGGCGAGCTCTCTGCGCTATAAAGAAACAGAAGAATATGAATGAGCACTGGGACTGTCAAGCTCCAAAATGACAAAAAGCTCCTCTGACGTATCATACAAGTGGTTAATATGACTCATACATTATATTCCATGTCTTCTAAAGCCATAAAGTAAAGTAATAGCTTTGTGTCAAGAACACACCAAAATTATTCAAACTTTGATCTAGCTCCTCTTAAAGAAGTAGCGATGAAAAGTATTGATGTTCGCGTTCACAAACTAGTCATTCTTTTGCACTGGATCTTTTCAAAGAGCTGATTTACTGGTTTATCATCTCAATGATTTAGTCACAATGACTCAGTTAACGAGGTCACAGCTTCATATTCAATTACTTATATAAAGATTTCAGTAGGTTGACTACCCCACTGTAACATTCCATGTGTCCGAAATCGCCCCCTATACCCTTAAATAGGGCAATATTTGAGGGGACAGCCATTTTTATTGGTGTCTGAAACCTTTGTGGACGTTATCGAGTGCACTCATTCAATCCCATATTGCACCCTATTAACGAGAGTGCAACTGATGTACGCTCAACGGCTAAAGAATACCCATAATGCACTGTGAGTCACGTGCCGAATGAATTGGTGCGAGTTTGGGGGTGGGACTATCTGCTATGCTAGGCCTGGGCGATAAAACGATATCGATATTTATCGACGGTACACCCTCTTTTAGATATAGCGCACGATATAGGCACGTGCTATGAGTGACGGAGACTGCACACACAAACACGAACACATGCTGAATTGAGTGCTGTGCCTGCCTGTGATGAGGAGATTGTGAATTAAAAAAAAAAGATTAGTCGAATTTAAAATAAACATTTGCATTTGAATGCAAAAATAGTACAATCAAATGTTAGGTGTGCGTCTGGGAGCGTCATTAGTGGACCGCGAGATGCGGTGATGATGATGTAAGTGGCATTGTTGCATTTGAATGTTTTATAGGTCTAGCCCACAAGACGCGCAATTGCTGCATTATTCATTCAAAATATTAGAAAAATATAGTAACTCAATGCGTAGAAGATCTTGATTAGATTAAAACCGAAACCAAGCCATTCACACAGAACGCATATTCAGCGCATTTTTTAGAGGGACAAATATGACTGCTGCTCTCGTGTCTCACACAAGAGATGTATAGAAAGCCATGCAAAGTTAAAACAGTTTAAACTTTTAGAAAACACGTCACGAATTTGTGGAGGTTTATTCCGTTTCACTGCATCTCATACGTTTTTAAAGGCAATCTGTGTGATGGGCGCTTCGGCTCTTTGTATTAAGCAATGCATAAATACATGATGCTGTTTTGTTCATAATTTTTTATGCAATTTACGAAATTGTTTGATTTATATGAGTTAATTTAGACGTAATGCAAGTCTTTCTTTTTATAGACAGTTATTTCCCTTGCGTTGGCAATTTAATGCGCTGCATTATTTTGCTCATTGCGCCCTCCTGTGGCTTTGGGAGACAAGCCAAAAGTTTCCTTCAGACCTATTTAATCTGAATATAAAACATTAGAAATTAGATATTGGTTTCATTTGTATTTTGTGTTTGACTGTTAAAACAAAAAATATTTGTTGTTTGTCTCAATAAATTGGGTTAATTTAAAAATACAGTGGTTAAATTTAAAAGTTTTTTTCTAGTGCTCTTTGTTTTAAGAAATGTCAATAATTATCGACACCGAACGATAAGAAACATTATATCGTTGATACATTTTTTAGCTATATCACCCAGCCCTATGCTATGCAACCAATTAGTTTTTCAGGAAACTTGTTTCAGGATTGCAGGGGGTTTTTTATTTTTTATTTTTTTTATCTCCGATTCATTCAGTTATTAAGTCTTTTCTTGCCCCTGCCAGTGTAGGAAAAATCAGAATTGCTGATCAACTCAATGCCATTTGGGGGCAAAAATGTGGTTGCGGGATGTCAAAGAACAATGGGGCGTAAACAAAGAGAGATTTGTTCACACTGTAGAACAAATCAAGGCAAACTGAGAGAAACAGACTTCACATGAAGGATGGAGGGTGAGCCAACAACTAAACCACAAAACAAAAGCTACTATGCATTCCATAAAAGTGCTCCTCAAATAAACAAAACCATGTCCATGACTAACCGTCCCAGGCCGATATGCTGCACCTAGAATGACCAGCTACAATTGATTGAGCTAAATCAAATTAGTCTCAATCACGTCATTCTCACACCAACACTGTAAATAAGCTGGTGGAAATCCAGAGATCTGTGAAACCGAAGCTGGGGAGTGGCGTATCAAAATGCAAGGGCAGAAATATTTTGATTGGCACCCCTTTTATTCTAGCTTTTTGTTTTAAGCATTAAGCCCTGAATGTGCATCTCTATGTGCATTAAATTACAGAAACGACCTTTATCACATTACTGGGCATAATCCATGTGTCTTAAGCAGATAAATCCACAGAGGATGATCGCTCTTTTGCACAATTAGTAGCTTTTCGAATGCAGGATCAGAGCCGTTTTTTTTACAATACAATTTTAAATATAAATGATTTTAAAGGTTTACGTTAAGTGAGCAAGTGATGACAAAGATAATCTAAACGTAAAAAAATATGAGAATATTAATGAATAATAAAATAAACAATATTGACTGCTGCTCTTATATTAAAATTAATTCGTAAATACATAAATGTATCCTTATCAGTTAATCACTCAGTAAACATGCTTAATTTCTGCGGCACTATCATCACCACAGAGACTCAAACAGGTTTCTCAAGTCAAACACCCTTTCTACACATTGGAACCAGGATGGAAGAAAACGATGAAATGCATCAATACAATTTTAAATATAAATGATTTTAAAGGTTTACGTTAAGTGAGCAAGTGATGACAAAGATAATCTAAACGTAAAAAAATAAGAGAATATTAATGAATAATAAAATAAACAATATTGACTGCTGCTCTTATATTAAAATTAATTAGTAAATACATAAATGTATCCTTATCAGTTAATCACTCAGTAAACATGCTTAATTTCTGCGGCACTATCATCACCACAGAGACTCAAACAGGTTTCTCAAGTCAAACACCCTTTCTACACATTGGAACCAGGATGGAAGAAAACGATGAAATGCGCTGCTTTAATAATAACAGCAGAGCAGACACCTCCAGTGTACTGCATGTCATCTCTCCACTCAAACACCACTTCAATCAGCCCCGTCTAATCTAACTGCTATGTCCTGCCAGCCAGCAACACCTCCATCAAAGATTCTGCTCCACCAAGATGCTAATGCACAGGAACGCAGAAATGTACTACGGCTAGTGCCACTCCTGCTCCTCCCTTCAACGCCATTACAGAAGGTGTCGGCTCAGCAACTGTCACAAACACTTTGCAGGATACTGAAGACTGGAGTGATGGCTGCTGAAAATTCTGTATTGCCATCACAGGAATAAATTACATTTTAAAATATATTAAAATAAAAAGGTGCATTTAAATAATAATATTTCACAATAAATCATAATACCCAAATGAATGCAGCCTTGGTGAGCATAAGAGACTTCATTTAAAAACAAAAAATTAAAAAGTTGCAGTACTTGGGCCTTAAGACCCAATGTGTTCATATCCAGCAAACCACAATAAAAAAATTATAATAAAAAAAAAAAATCATTTTTCCCCACAACATCTAGTAGTACAGCGTGACCAAACAAATGATTTCCATGAGTCAGTTCTTTTTAGTGAATCAAAAACATGCAGCATGACCAATCTGATGTAGTCTGACTAACAAACAGATGATTCATATGAGCTGGTTCTTTTAATGAATCAAAACACACTGCACAAACTTACCATTGATGTCTGTTTTTTCAAAACGGACCCAAACTATCTTCTCTTTTTCATCATTTGGAGGTGTCCCAGTATATGCCTGAAAATTCAAAGATTAATAAAGGCTAGATTTTTTTTCTAACTAAATTGTTCTTACTATAACTAGCTATCACTTATATGTCTAAAAAGGGAGTCTTTCATAGGCTCTCAACATTTTTACAACAGAAATACACTGAAAATCAAGCATTATCCAACATGGACTTTAAATTACAACACAGAAGGAAAAAAGCAACCTCTTAAGAGGAAAAAAAAAACATTTACCTGAGGGACTACATCCTGCAAGAACGTAACTACGCTCTCCATGTATGACTGCTCTCTGCAAAACAGTAAAAGCAATTCTCATGAAAATAATATAACCACACAAGAAGAGACCTGTCCATTTAACCTCCTGAGACCTCATATGAGGACATTACCCATTATTACACTTCTTTTTTCATTACATGTTGCCCCAAAAACACATTAATATGCAAATTAGATTTAGTTTATAGATACATTGTATATAATGAGAAAACCCGTTTTTATGGCCATTTTACAAACATTTTTGCAGAAAGAAAAATGGTATATAAAATCATTTGGTTATAACATAGTTGAGAATCATCTTTATACAAAGTTTGTTATAAAAAAAAATCCTGAAAACTAAAAATGTATTGGTGATTTAAAAAATCTATTGTTTTTGCCTATGCATGTTCATTCATGTCTTTTTATTTTTTATTGAGTCCGAGGACATAGCATAACTTATGAATGAAATATAATTTTTTACAATGCTCTAAACAACGTAAAGACATGAAAAAAACTATGGTTATAACATAGTTGAGAATCATCTTTATACAAAGTTTGTTATAAAAAAAAATCCTGAAAACTAAAAATGTATTGGTGATTTAAAAAATCTATTGTTTTTGCCTATGCATGTTCATTCATATCTTTTTATTTTTTATTGAGTCCGAGGACATAGCACAACTTATGAATGAAATATAATTTTTTACAATGCTCTAAACAACGTAAAGACATGAAAAAAACTATTTTTTCCTAAAAAGAGGTTAAACCTAAAAGTTTGTGAACCAATGCAATATTTTGTCACCTTTTTGTTTATGACAACCAACATCTTAACATTTACCATACTGAACACTGAATTGGCTTTGCAGCTGTAATTTTATTCACAAACAAGCCATTATGGTCTTACGTTGCAGCCTGTGCTCGAACCACAACCCCACCAGCACAGCGGCTCGGTCTGCGCGGGGAGTCATACGCCATGGCCAGCCACTCAGTACCCTGTTGGAGCAGAGCAAGAGAAGATGCAGTCATGATTTTCAATATGATCATTACACTAAACATCACTGCAGACTGTGCAGAGATGCCTCATTGATCATCCTGATCTCAGTATTACTCTAAATTCAACAGAAGTAAAAGGCTACATATGATAACTGCACCACTACAGACCATCCACCCTTGCAGATGGATGTAAACAAATAAGGCACAGATGTGCCTGGCTCAGTTTAATCTGCACAACAGACCCATTCCTGTCAAGTATTGATCCTGTAAACGATCTAACACAGACTTGCTAAGACAAGCGAGATAAACAAAATAAAACACTTTAAATCAACTCCAGCCAGATTTGCTAGTAACCAAACAATAGGATGTAAATACCTTTATTGCCATCATAATAATGTGAGTAGCTCTTGATTTAGTTACATTTTGCATTACATTTAACACAATTTAATGTAAGACAATGTGCAAAAAGATGTCAAGGGTGTATCAGACAAAAAACACAGCTGTGAGTTTTGTCAGATCAACATTTCATCATATCAACCATCTCCAGTCTGTTACGTTAGCTTAGCAATATCGCTATCTGTCATTACAACGCTTCAAAGCCAATAAACTGAGCCATGACAAGAACTTTCCTGACTTCCTGAAAGAAATATATATGTGATGTATGTAAGAAATGTGCAGTTGAATGTTTAATGAAGCGACATTTGTACTAACCAGAGGTTTTGTGTTTTGAATTCGGATCAACACAGAGCTCCTCACAAAACGCCACAGTGAAGCTGGCATGCAGCGGAAACAACAGATGCCTTGGCCAATCAGTGATGAGCATCGGAGACGGATAGCCAATGGAGTTAGGACAAAGGTGGGCACTTGGACCTTTCTGACCAATAGTGGATGGCAAGGACTGTTTGGGTTTTTTTGTTCGCTGAACGAATCTGACGCGTTGTTCAAATTAACATTAACATCAAGGTGAAGTGTTATATAAAGCAATATTTATTGTTTCACGCTCATATGAGTATCTCCACATTTGAAAATTTGCACAACAGCCTGGATAAACGTGCACGTTACATCACGTCACGCTGATGTGTTTATTTACATCGAAGTATCGCGTGAAGCTATTTCGCACAACCTCGGCTTCTTTCGGAAAAACGAAGCTTTAGTCACAAAAAAAATTATGAATGTATAGTGGTTCTTATCTTCTAAGGATGTCTTGAAATTATTTAAACTAGTTATATTAAAATAACTTCATGCAAACTGAAATCATATTTCTTATTTTAATTTGACCCTTTAACAACTTTCAATGTTTTTATTGAAGAGCATAGTTTTCAAAATTTTTATTGACCTGTTTAGCATTAGCAGCACCTTTAGTTTAGAATGACAATTTCTCCCATCATAGCAAAAAAACAATGTTAATGAAATCTTTGAAACATTAAAATAACCATAATGTTTAAAATCCATAATGTATAATTCATATAAAGTTCATGCTTGCATACAATGTTAATAAACCTTATGACACAGGGTTAAGATAGCAGTGAACACTAGAAATAAAACAACGTACAAAAAAAAAAACTATAACATTGATCCCAAAGAGATTAAATTTTTTGAAACAGGCGACATGTACGCTGTAGGGAAATATCTTCTCAGAAGATAGAATTTCTTTTTTTTTGGTTATTTTTCCCCACAATCCTCCAATTTTCCAAAAAGACTGCACAAATTTAACTTAAAAGTGCAAAAATCCCTATTTGATCCATCAAAACAAAACAAAATCTAAACATTTTCATTAGTCTGCAAAATATAAAGTATAACAATATACCACTAACATAGGCTAAAATATGAGTGACGTGAATGGAAGCGAGTGATTTTTGTTTCTTTCTTTTGACATTGTTACTTGCTTTAGGATTTGGTTTCTCAGTAGCTTATATCAACTAATATGAGTCTGACTGTCCAGCATAAGTGTACGGATTGCATTGTATTAGGACCATGAATGTCAGCAAACACATACAGTAGCCTTCCCATGCTGTTGAAGCAGCGCTTGGACATCTTCAGACTGTTTCTGACCATTGCCGCCGCCACCACCGCTCCTCGCCGAGGACTGTGTGCTCAGTTTCTTTGAAGATGTACATGAGGACTCTTTAAGAGGGGAATGGGACAAACTACGACAGGGTTTCTTCAGCACAGGTGAGGAGGAACCCTCTAGCATCCGTTTGCCTGTAGCCACTCGGTCACAATGGGCCTCATTTTCCAGTGAGTCATTATAAGGCAGGTCTTCACAGTTTGTAAGGCTATCAGGAGATGATTCAAATATCATGCTCATCTCACAGCTGCCGTTTTGCTGCTCCGTGATGGGCTGTACTTGAGTGTCAGGACCCTATAAAACAAGGAACTATGTATGAAGCTTGAGTGTGGTGTTATTTTTAATCTAAATCCACAATAAAATACAATACAAAACAAAAACAATAGCTTTATAAAATGAAGCAGGCCTTAATTCATTGAATGGACACCGCTGTTGTATTGTTAAAAGAACAGTTCACCTCAAAAAAGAAAATTTGCTGACAATGTACTCGCCCTCAGGCCACCCAAGACAAAGATGAGTTTGTTCATTCATCGGAACAAATTTGAAGAAATTTAGCATTACATCACTTGCTCACCAATGGATCCTCTGCAGTGAATGGGTGCCGTCAGAATGAGAGTCCAAACAGCTGATAAAAACATCACAATAAAACTGTTTTAAACAAATATGTCAGTGGATTTTGATGTGAGAGGACAACAGGGGATGGACATTTTCACTGGAAGAAGCATTATTATGGATTATGGACTGGTATTTTTGCCAGAACCAACGGTTTAAAGTTAAAATGCCTTACTAATGGATTTGTTTCTTATAAACACCAAGCTTTTCACTTCCAAATACGTCAATTAATGGACTAGAGTCTGTTGTGGATTATTGTGATGTTTTTGTCAGCTGTTTGGACTCTCATTCTGACGGCACCCATTCACTGCAGTGGATCCATTGGTGAGCAAGTGATGGAATGCTAAATTTCTCCAAATCTGTTCCGATGATGATTCACACTCGTCTACATCTTGGATGGCTGATGTGAGTACATTTTCAGTTTTGGGTGAACTATGCCTTTAAATAGAAAATCTGAAACATTCCTAACCTGAGTGGGCAAAGAGTTGGTGCAAGATTCAGGAACGGTGCCACAATTTGGTCCTTGTAGATTATACACAGTCTCGTAAGGTGGCAAGCACTCAGAGGATGTCCCGAACGGCTCCAAACAGATAACAATGGCACTAGTATTATCAGCACGGAGCATGCGTTGACGCCATCTCAGTAAGGCATGGTTCACGAGCAGAACAGCATTTGAAACATTTTCCTTTTGGTTCTTTGGCTGTTAAAATAAACATTCAGATAAGTGAACGTTTCTAAAAGACAATTAAGACCTTTCCTGTCACATACATTTAAATTATTGACCTTGGCATTGTCATTTTCCTGGCAAATAGACACAGCCTCCTGTGGTGACACCATGTTCCATAACCCATCACTGCCTAAGATGATGTAAAGGTGCTGCTTCAAATCCAGTTTGATAACAGCGGTATCAGGCTCTGGTGACACTACAAACTCTCCACTGTAGAAGTCATAACTCCACAGATCACCTGAAGACGCATTAATGTGCATTAAATTATTGGATGCATACTACAACAACAACAAAAACCATGTAAAAATCAGTGGCATTTGGACACATTTAGTCAGTAAGGTTTTGATTGGCATTATAAGATCTTTAAATCATCTTCAAAATCATCTAGAAGTTTTAAAGGAACAGTACACCTGAAAATGTAAATTAACCTGAAAGTGAGAATTAAAATAATTACAGATTTTAATTTTTGGGTGAACTGTTTCTTCTTAGAACTGCTTGACATCTCCTTGATATACAACCAGGGCTCAGTGATAAAGATTTTCCCTACTGGGTTTTTACTTATGCTGCCAAAATGTTCACTGGCCCCACAACAAAAAAAGAAAAGATACCACATCCATTTGACCTATGCAACTAGGGCTGCACGATAAATCGAAATGGAATCGAGATTGCGATTCGACAGAAGCTGCGATTGTCATGCGTATCTTTCAATGAAGCACGGTTCTGTGATCCGCAGTAAATCTCCTTTCCAAAGGCCAGAGAACTCCAAATACGCCTTGCAGAAGAAAGCCAGAAAATCGCTGCAGCTGAATAAACAGAAGATTCAACTGCTTTCATTGATTCAATGTGACTAATAAACACACAACTACGACAATATACGGTTTATCTGAGTTTAAAATATTCTTCTAACTACTATAACTAAAGTATATTTATAATGCAATGCCTTTATCACTGCTTAAATACTATTAAATGTTGCGTGCCTTATTCTGTGTAAGAAGCCACATCATCTCACAGAAGGATTTATTTCAAACACTCGACTGACGTTATGAAGTGAGTTTGGAGTAAAAATAGGTTATTACATGTGGTATTTTCACATGCTTTCAGATGGAGCAGCATTTACTTCAGAGCCGTAGTTCACTGAGAAGCTATGCAAACAGCTGTCATTATCGCGAACGATTTCAGAATCGCACAATAAAATCAATTTTTTTAGCGTAACTTGTCAGTGAACAGTGTGTAAATAACACACTCTGTGTAGTAAATGCTGCTCCATCTGAAAGCACGTTATAATGATTTCCTGCTGATTACAGAACCGGCATTACTATCAAAATGCGCATGACAATCGCATTCGATTAATCGTGCAGCCCTATATGAAACCTTGCATTAATAAATAAGGTTGTTACACCACTAACATTTTACATACCATTGAAATTTCACTGTATGTTCAGTCAGGACAGGAGCAGTGAATGATTCTCTCTTTTTCTTCTGTTGTTTGATTAACATTAAGGACACATATACAGCAGCAGCATGTTGTTGACAATTTTACATTTATTTGTCCATTCAAGCATGATAAAATGACAATTCCGTCAACTGTCCTGAGCGTCTTTCACACTTGACCCGGGCCACTGCACAGTCCTCATTGTTGAACCCTGACAACCTTGCTAAACTCAGTTTAAACACCTAAACAGCATGTGTTGCAATTCAACATTCTGCTTGTCGTAGCTAAAGAACAGAGTGTATCATGGTGACATGTTGCAATTCGCAGAACAACAGACAATCTCTACTGCCTTATCAGATATATTGAAACTCACTCAACATTTTAATCACTGTTTTTCCAATCATAACAGCAACGATGACCTCTTGTTATGAAATGGCTTAAACCGCTTACCAAGAGCTCGGGCCACAGCCAAAAATGGGATCTGATCGATGACTGTGCTCCTTCTTACTGGTCCATTGTGGGTCAGTCTGGGTCTCTTCCACACCACCCTATTGACTCCAGACTTTTTAATGACACTAGAGGAGAGGTGTGACAATGATCACTGCTGGGTCTCATCATAGTTCAAATTTAATGCACAAAAAACTGCTGACCAAAGATAATTGTACCTCTACCTAAAACTAAGCCTGATTCACTAGAGTTTAAACCTTTCATTATGCCATTATGAAACATACATTTAAAGTGGCAAGACAATGATACAAGCCATTGGATGCTGGTCTATATCATGTTGACATGCTTGTGTTATTTCAGGCTAAAAGACAAAGAAAGCTTGTGTTTAGCTTATGATAATGTGGACAAATGCCAGAGCATGTTTGGTTATGTTGTCCCACTTTGAAGCTGTGGGTGCATAAACAAAAACCAGTCAGACCACTGTGGACACACAGGGCTGAAAGAAACAGGCACCGGTTTGTGTTTTCCTGATGAGTGTTGACATAAAATAAAAGACTAAAGATGGTTACTTGTGAAGGTTAACCAAAAAAGTGGACAGCATGAAAGCCAACAATCAAATTGCAAAATAATCTCATCCAGCTGTGTCGCTAGCTCATGCCTCCACAGATCATTTACCAAAAGCAGAAGGTACCAAGAGTGTATAAATACAGTTAACATTAGTTGTGTGAGCTTACTTGTTTTATAGAACAACTCACCTGCCACCGAGCCCCTCTATTCTCTCCCTTTCCTTCGGGAGGTCAGGTTTGTGGTCCTGTGTAATTTCTACAGCTCGAATGAACTTGTCAGAGGGGTGATCCTGCACCCCTAACACCACCGCTGAGTCCCCAACATGGGCAACATACATACGGTCTCGTCGTATTACGACAATACTTGCAGTTGTGCCCGATGTGCTGGGAAGTCCTGTAACCGTCTTTGGCCATTCCGCTATAAGAAAGCATATTATATAGTTTTCAAAAACAGATCAGTGAAGTAACTCTTTCTGTTTAAAATGGATAGCTCACAGAAAAATGAAAATTATGTTATGCATGTGGAAGAAAAAGGCAAATGTTTGGCAAAATGTCCAAGCTGCTGGTCTTAACTTAAGCCAATGCCATATTGTGTCTAATATACATATACATATATATATACATACACATATATACATATATATATATATTGTGTTTGTCGTTTGATTTGGTTTGCTTGTTCTGTTCTGTCTTATGCCTATAGGTATTTAATAAGTTAACACAGTTTTGTTGTAGATACTCAGTCAATTGCACAACACGCTAATGCACCTTTAAGCAGGGTGTTGAGCTGTGATTTCTGTAAGCAAAACACTATTCTGATCTGATGTGCTGTCACTCTATTTCAGATATGGGTTAGTTGTTTGGTGTGGCCTGCAGTGCTTGTGCAACTTATTTTGGCGGGGTACATCGGATGTTGCAACCTTTATTCAAAATGATCAGTTGCCTGGACTCTTTCCCTTGCACGTCCATACAATGGCAGAAACTTAAGTGTTAAACGAGAACATGTGTATATGTGACGTTCAATTTCATAACTTACGTAATTTCTTCCACATGGCATGGTGACAAGTGATGAATCCCTTTCGCAGAGCAGCGCACACCTCGTCGTCGTCCTCGGACCAAAAGCCTCTTTGTTTTTTGATGTGGTCCCACAAATGGCGGCGAGCAAAGCGCGCGGCGTCCGGACCTCCGTGTCCGTCGAACACGGCGAACATAGCCACAGCCCGCGGCCGACGAGTGCATTTGGACGAGCGAGAGGAGGGCATCGACGCATGCTGAAGAGTAGAGCTAGGCTCATCATCTTGAACATAAGTAACAGTGATAGATCCGGGGATGGAGTCTTGGATTTTTTAATGTCTGCGTTACAGTAGTTTTGAAATGATGGATAATATGGTTTTGTTTTGTTCAGATGGGTGAATGATGGTGGGAAAAAATGGGGGTTGTATATTGTTGAGAGTGATGCATAGCAACAAATAAAGCCATTTTTTGTTTTAATTTGAGCTTTATATATAAAATGCCTGCATGTAAACAAACGACCCTGTAAATATATTTGCATTGTGAAGATTTATACACGACTAGGCTACTAGAAAATATTATATATAATTTATATGATTGTGTATTTGTACAAGCCGTTGTTTTATTTTAAGTTACAGCATATTTTGAAGGAGTCTTGTGCTTAGTTGTCTCAAAGACAGTATCCTATAGTAGTGAATCTTGAAAATCAAGAAAGACATCCAGCCAGAGCTTTTTGTGAGCTGTCTATCCAGTGGAACTGAGTGAGATGTGCAGTAATTTTAGTGGATCCATTCTAGAGTAGACAGGCAGATGGATCAGATAGATTTACGAATTCTTACATGTCAAGAGGTGTCCAGCAGATGATGCTTTAAGCCTAAAAGATACAATGCACCATAATCTGATTTGACAGTGTTAGAATGATTATGAGACTTTTATTAGTAAGTCTATGTGAGTGTAAAGAGTGATTTAATTAATTATACCCTTGTCTTTTCTCTTTGACCTTCCAAGCTGTGTGTGGCATATGAAATTGGTCAAATCTCAAACTAAATGACTTTTATTTTGAAATTCCGTCTGACGCTCACATCCGTTCTGGAAGTGGAAGCTGTTGTCAACGGAAGGATTGTCAACGGTCGACTGCACCTTACAAGTCACTTTTAGGGGCGCCGCACTTGCTAGAGGTAAAACAGTGTGAAGTTTTAAATCTTTGAATCATTCATTTATATAGGCGGGAAAATGTCTGTATATCTTTTAAACTGCCTTTTTGGTTCACTAAACGAATCAAAAAGCTACGTTAGCTCGCCTCTTGAATTGACCACATAGCCTCTTGGCGGCTTCTCTGATGATATTGATACATAGTGATAGTCCTCACAATTGTTTCAGAGACATAACTTATGGTAAACACGCTCTGGCAATGTATTCAAACGTCCGGCTACCTTGTTCATAGTGTTATGTTCTCACTAATACGCTTATGCAGGGCTTTATGTAGTCTGTATTCATAAGAGGGTTTATGATGATGCCAACCTCTCCTATTATGTAATATGAATAGTTATGGTTGTGTGATAATGCATGCAATTTCATTGAGGGAAAAAAAAGTTTTTGCTCTTGTTGCATTCTTGTCTCCTCTCGTTTAAGTTCAGGGATTTCTTCAGCACTCCACCTTTTGCATTAGGACAGGCTTCCAGCCATGGTGAGGCTCGCTATCATCATTCTGTTATGATTCATGTCAAGATTAAAAAACTGGAGGGTCCTGATGATATATAAAAATGTTGTATATATCAGATACCTTGTATGGGGAATTGTGTTAATTTTATTGTTAATGTGTTAATCATTCCTAGACAAATTGTTCCCAGACCAAGAGGTCAGATCTGGTCTAAATTTGTTTAACATGTAGACCAAATGTGTTAAAACTGTAATATAATCAGTGTTTTTCTCTCTTTGTCAGTCTGCTGTGGTGGATCTAAAGACGAAGGAGGAGAAAGATGCAGAGCTGGACAAAAGGATCGAAGCTCTGCGGAAGAAGAATGAGGCTTTGGTCAAGAGATATCAGGTGAATTTAACTGCTGCCACTCTGCCAATTTGTTTATTTGATGTACTGCTAATAATTCTTTATGTTGACTTTAAGTGTTATTCATTGTACATTTGAGATGCTCAGATTCAAGGCTTTTGTCTTGGTCAGTTTTTATTAATTAATTCAGCTTGCTTGTCTTCTCTTGTGTCACCAGGAAATACAGGAAGATAAGAAAAAGGCTGAACAGGAGGGCATCGCTGTGACAACACCTCGGAAACCCCGCCCTCATGAGCCTGAGTCTGAACGGAGAAAGACGGAAAAGGAGAACTTCTCAGTGACCGTTGACTTGTCCAAATCAGCTGCGGTAAAGACAGATGTCAGAATATTTTCATAGAATAGCAATTTACCATAAAAGTATATTATATGGTATTATCATAATTGGTTCTGCAAAAAATGACTGTTTAATGCAACTCAGAGGTGGCATATATGCATCTACACTGCAATTGCAGTTGCATAAATAATGCTGTGAGATTTTGAATATTGAAATATGAATGACTGGAACTAAAACCGCCAGTAGGTGAAGGCAAGGAGTTGTTCAGTAACGTTATCTTAGAGTATACATATTGCACACCCCTTAAAAGAACTATGATCTATATCTTCACAGCCCTAAAGCCTGTAGTTCATCAGATATTTTTGGCTTTTTAAAAATAAAATATTAAATGGAAGCAGTATATGTAAGTATTCCGTATTAATAATTGTACTATGTTTTTTCATTCAAGTTTGATTCTGAATAACCTCAGACCGCTAATGATTTGCATCAGCTCCAATAGAGAACAAGAGCATGTAGAAGTTAATTGGCCCTCCCATTTGTCACAGCTCTGAGGATTTTAATTTCCCTCCTGAGGAAGGCTGAGACAAGCTGTAGAGTATTTTAATCAATACCTGTAGAGTTTCGGTGGATCACAGATGGTCTGCGCAGCTGTGATAGACCCTCCTATTGTGGTCTGTGAAGGTCATGCCATTCAATAACTGCAAAGTGAGAATTTTATTCAAATATACTTGTTGAACTTGACAGATGGATATGCAAATTGTTGCTCTGTATAGAATGTGATTTCCAGTTATTGGGCATGGTCTATATTTAATGCAGTGTTATTATTGTTAACTAAAATGATTAAATAGTTTTTTTGTTAATTAACATTAAGCTGGAATAAAATAAAATGATGAAAATGTTTACTTAAAATTTTAAAGAAAATTAGAAATGTTGCTTTGGGAACAAATTTAAATAAAATAAGTTTAATTTGAAGTACTAAAATTATTGCCAAAACTGAAATAAAAATAATTGAAGCTAAATATTAATAAAAAAAAACTAATATAAATGACAAGCACATAAAATGCATAATACTTAAACTAAAATAAAACTGAAAATATAAAAGCGTATGGTAATTTAAAAGATTGAAATATAAATAATACTAAAACTACGCTGGTCTTATGAACTTGACTGAAAAAAAATGTCATGATGAGCTTTTTTTACTCGTGTACTAAAAACCTCTAAATCTTCATACTGCCTTTCTAGGAGAAGCGTGTGGCGAATGACAGGAAACCAGCTAGTCATCGTGGTGACCAGGGCCCAGAAGAAGAAGAGTCTGGTCTGCCTCATGGTGAGAGTCCCCCCCACAGAACCGGATCGGGCCGGCTGAGCAGAGGTGGCCACCGCGGCGGAAGAAGAGAGCCTCGTTCAAACAAAGGTGAACCATGGTCGGAGAGGCAACCTCAGGATGGTGAAGGTGGAGAGGGACCAGCTCATACTGAACGCTCCTCCAGAGGAGGGCGGAGAGGAGGAAGAGGTGGAGGAGGAACGCAAGGAGGATCAGGCTCGGACAGGAAATCAAAGGTCACTATTGATGGTCATCAGTGAGCTTTTCTAATCATTTTGTTATTGAGATATTGTAGAACATTGTTGTGGTACATTCATTTATTTACAAAGTCATTTGTAGGCGAGTAGGACACAATAAAATATACAGAAATTAGGACATACAGTTTTACACACTAGCATCATAATCTACAAGCCATTTTAATCGGAGTTGATATCCAATTTCTCAGGAGTGGGAGGAAAAAAGAAGACAGAACATAGAGAAGATGAATGAAGAGATGGAAAAGATTGCTGAATATGAGAGAGGTCAAAAAGTATGTTTTGGTCAACCCAACTTTCTCTTTTTAATGTATCATTCTAGTGTCAATCTGGTACATGTGCACATTCACACTTAACATGTATCTTTTGCAGACTGATGGAGAGAAGAACCCCATCAGAAACTTCCTTGATGACCCACGGCGTAGTGGGCCGATTCTAGAAACTGACCGCAAGGAGGGAAGCCGGCGTCACGTGCGCAACTGGGGTGGAGTTGACTTTGACAGTGTGAAGACTGGTGCCGAGGTTGAGAAAGAATGGACGGTACTAAGCACATTGATTTGTTTGTGTTCGTTTAAACTACAAGTACTCTACTGGAATTAAATTGTTCAAATGTGTCATGAAAGACATTTATAGATGTTACAAAAAAAAATCTATTTCAAATAATTCCTGATATTTAATTTTTTTTCAAATAATCCTGAAAAAAAAAATTGTCCAAGTTTCCACAAAAACCGAACTGTTTTCAATGATTATTGTAAGAAATGTTTTTAAGCACCAAATCAGTACAATGTACATCAGTACAATTAAAATGATTTCTGAAGGATCATTTGACACTGAAGACTGGAGTAATGGCTGCTAAAAATACAGCTTTTCCATCATGAAAATAAATAACATTTTAAATTATATTAAAATAGGATATTTTAAATAGTAATATTTCACAATTTGGCTGATAAAACCTTACCAACCCCATGGTTGTGTAATGGTATAGACCAGAATATTATTTATACTTTCAGACTTACTTTCTCTCTTTTTAATCCCATAACAGAATCGTAGGCCAAGCGGTAAAGGCTCAGTGGATATGACTCTGTCCATGACTGGCCGAGAAAGAGCCGAGTATCTCCGCTGGAAAAAGGAGCGAGAGCAGATTGACGAAGAACGACTGGCTCGTCACCGTAACGCCACTGGCCAGTGGAGACGAGAGTGGGATGTCCAGAAAACAGATACAATGTGAGTATCAAAAACATAAATGTTCACTATTGTAACTATGAATATGCCATAGAGCTATGGTAGTGCTGGGCGGTATACCGGTTCATACCGAATACCGGTGTTTATTTTTGTTATGATATGAATTTTAAAAATTCATGTCGTTAATGTCGCATGTCGTTAAAAACAACATTCGGAACGCCACACTGTTTGAAAGGGGTCCCTTTTCACTGTTGCACTGTGGCGAGGGAACAGCTGTATGTGTTACTAAGCGTGAAAGTTCCGAAACTGAAGCTGTAGAACTAATAGAACGTGATGACACAGAAGAACTCATCCACAATATCCACACTGACCACCACAAATATCCACCACGCCCTGCCATCAGGTCCCACGACTTAAGCGTGAAAGTTCCGAAACTGAAGCTGTTGACCTAATAGAACGTGATGACACAGAAGAACTCATCCACAATATCCACACTGACCACCACAAATATCCACCGCCCCCTGCCATCAGGTCCCGCGACTCACACACACACACACAAGTGTGACTTTAGCACTAGCTTTAACAACTTTCAGACCCTTTCAGCGGCATTTTTCCATAGAATATTCATACTGTCAAATCTAGAGACTTTTTTGGATAAACCTTCGCTATGGTTCAGTTGGAAGATTTCGCCAGTGCTGTCCCGCGAACGCAAGGTCTGACTTTCCTGGAGAAGTGTCACCTCTCTCGCCGTCTGTTCTGTGCAGTGAGCAGCAAAGAAGCAGTGCATTCAGTTGGCCGCACCGCAGCCGACTCGTCAATAAATGAGTACAAAACAGCATTTCCTAGCACCTGTCGCTCGCTGGTTGTTTGGAATTATAAATATGAGCGTAGTTCGTCTGTTAATATCACATGCACTTTTTTGTTTGTTGTTTTTTTTTTTAGTTTGTTACTCAGACGCAGGCAGTAATAAGTAATATAGCTGTGACGAGTGGGGGATGGGCCGAGAGCCGTGGGAACAGAGCGAGAGGCGTTCCCATGCCTCTCTGCCCCGCCCCCACTCGTCACAATAGCCAAAACAACTTCATAGCCACTCTTGCGAGGCGTATTTGGAGTTTCAGCACGAGAGCGCCCTCTGGTCTTCGGATGGAGATTTACTGCTGATCACAGAACCGTGCTTCACTGAAAGATACGCATGACAATCGCAGCTTCTGTCGAATCGCAATCTCAATTCCATTTCGATTTATCGTGCAGCCCTAGTGTGTATGACACAAAATGTACAGAAAGGAAAACACAAGTCCCACGTTGCAGTTGTCTGCAAAATGAATTATTTGTACACAGCAGTGCTTCTTCAAGCCTGTTGTATCATTGTAAGACAAAACATTAAATTAAATTCAAGTTTGTTTGTATAGCGCTTTTCACCATGCAAATCATTGCAAAGCAGCATTACAGATCATTTAAGTTTCTGCATTATATTTAGTGATAGCTTATCAGTGGTGACTATCTCAAGTTGATGTCCATATGGCAGAAATGTCCGGTAAAAGTTTTTACTTGTGTAATTCCTAGTTACAACGGGATGCCAATCCCGTGGCAGAAACAGAAAAGGTAATAGAGAAAAAAATAGCGTAGCTGCTGTTCCAACTAATCAAAAAATGATGTGCTCCACCCAAGTAAAAGAATGAAAATGTGCATTTGATCAGATATAACTGAAGTACAAGGTTATGAGATACATTGTGAATGATTGGCTAAAGAGATGTGTCTTTAATATAGATTTAAACAGAGAGAGTGTGTCTGAACCCTGAACTTTATCAGGAAGGCTATTCCAGAGTTTGGGAGCCAAATGTGAAAAAGCTCTTACCTCCTTTAGTGGACTTTGCTATCCTAGGTACTACCAATAGACCAGAGTTTTGCGACCTTAGGGAGCATGATGGATTGTAGCATGATAGAAGACTAGTTAGGTACACAGGAGCTAACCCATTTAGGACCTTAAATGTAAGTAGTAATATTTTGTAACTGATACAGAACATAATAGGTAGCCAGTGCAGAGAATGTAGAATTGGGATAATATGATCATATTTTCTTGACCTGGTAAGGACCCTAGTAGCTGCATTTTGGACTACCTGTAGCTTGTTTATTGAAGATGAAGGGCAACCACCTAGCACTGCATTACGAGGTCATGAATGCATAAACTAGCTTTTCTGCATCAGAAACGGGTAACATGTTTCGTAACTTGGCAATGTTTCTAATATGGAAGAATGCTGTTTTTGTAACATGGGAAATATGATTTTCAAAAGACAAGTTGCTGTTTAATATAACACCCAAATTTTTGACTGTAGAGGAAGTAACAGTACATCTGTCTAGTTGCAAATTGTAATCTACAAGATTCTGTGTACTGTTTTTTGGTCCAATAAGTAATATCTCGGTCTTATCCGAATTTAATAGGAGAAAATTATTGGTCATCCAGTCTTTTACATTTTAGTAGGAATTTCGCAAGCAATGGAAGGAAGTATTCTTAATATTTTTGTAATGTTTTCGATCATTCTTCTTCGAAACAGCAACACAGATTTAGTTTTTAAACACTAGCATCATAATTGATATCCAATTTCTCAGGAGTGGGAGGAAAAAAGAAGACAGAACATAGAGAAGATGAATGAAGAGATGGAAAAGATTGCTGACTATGAGAGAGGTCAAAGGGTATGTTTTGGTCAACCCAACTTTCTCTTTTTATTGTATCATTCCATTTCCAATGTGATACATGCGCATATACACACTTAACATTTATTTTTTTGCAGGCTGATGGAGAGAAGAACCCCATCAGAAACTTCCTTGATGACCCACGGCGTAGTGGGCCGATACCAGAAACTGACCGCAAGGAGGGAAGCCGGCGACATGTGCGCAATTGGGGTGGTGTTGACTTTGACAGTGTGAAGACTGGTGCAGAGGTTGAGAAAGAATGGACGGTACTAAGCAGATGGACTTGTTTGGTTTCATATTTCAAATGATTCCTGATATTTTACTTTTTTCAAATAATCCTAAAAAATGTTTCAAAGTTTCCACAAAAAGCAGAACTGTGTTCAACATTGATAATGGTAAGAAATGTTTTTAAGCACCAAATCAGCACATTAAAATGATTTCTGAAGAATCATTTGACTATGAAGACTGGAGTAATGGCTGCTGAAATGCAGCTTTACCAGCATAGGAATAAATTACATTTTAAATTGTTAAATTAGACATTGGGAATTTTAAATTGTAGTAATATTTCACAATTTGACTGATTTTACTGTTAAAATCATACCAACCCCACACCTTTCATTGGTAGTGTAATGGTAGAGACCAGCATATTATTCATACTTTCACACTTTCTTTCTCTCTTTTTAATCTCATAACAGAATCGTAGGCCAAGTGGTAAAGGCTCAGTGGATATGACTCTGTCCATGACTGGCCGAGAAAGAGCCGAGTATCTCCGCTGGAAAAAGGAGCGAGAGCAGATTGACGAAGAACGACTGGCTCGTCACCGTAACGCCACTGGCCAGTGGAGACGAGAGTGGGATGTCCAGAAAACAGATACAATGTGAGTATCAAAAACATAAATGTTCACTATTGTAACTATGAATATGCCATAGAGCTATGGTAGTGCTGGGCGGTATACCGGTTCATACCGAATACCGGTGTTTATTTTTGTTATGATATGAATTTTAAAAATTCATGTCGTTAATGTCGCATGTCGTTAAAAACAACATTCGGAACGCCACACTGTTTGAAAGGGGTCCCTTTTCACTGTTGCACTGTGGCGAGGGAACAGCTGTATGTGTTACTAAGCGTGAAAGTTCCGAAACTGAAGCTGTAGAACTAATAGAACGTGATGACACAGAAGAACTCATCCACAATATCCACACTGACCACCACAAATATCCACCACGCCCTGCCATCAGGTCCCACGACTCACACACACACACAAGTGTGACTTTAGCACTAGCTTTAACAACTTTCAGACCCTTTCAGCGGCATTTTTCCATAGAATATTCATACTGTCAAATCTAGAGACTTTTTTGGATAAACCTTCGCTATGGTTCAGTTGGAAGATTTCGCCAGTGCTGTCCCGCGAACGCAAGGTCTGACTTTCCTGGAGAAGTGTCACCTCTCTCGCCGTCTGTTCTGTGCAGTGAGCAGCAAAGAAGCAGTGCATTCAGTTGGCCGCACCGCAGCCGACTCGTCAATAAATGAGTACAAAACAGCATTTCCTAGCACCTGTCGCTCGCTGGTTGTTTGGAATTATAAATATGAGCGTAGTTCGTCTGTTAATATCACATGCACTTTTTTGTTTGTTGTTTTTTTTTTTAGTTTGTTACTCAGACGCAGGCAGTGCGCTGCATGAGACAAAAAAGTAATATAGCTGTGACGAGTGGGGGATGGGCCGAGAGCCGTGGGAACAGAGCGAGAGGCGTTCCCATGCCTCTCTGCCCCGCCCCCACTCGTCACAATAGCCAACTTCATAGCCACTCTTTAGTGTAGATGAGTGCGATTATAAATGAGTGACTCCTGGTTAACGTATTAAAAGGGGTCGTGTTTGGTCACTATTTAGTGTGGTATTTTTTTGACACTATTCACTCATCATGACCGTAAAATAGGGCATTCTAAGTCAATATGCTGCAGTATTTCCTCTCTCAATCAGTAGAAAATATGGTTAACACTCGGCCATGCATGAAAAAAAAAAATACCGTCATGTACCGTGAAACCGGTATAATTTTGAAAAATACCCCTGATAGAAATTTTTGGTCATACCGCCCAGTACTATTTTACAGTCACATTTTACTCACCCTCATTTGGTCCAAAACCCATATGACTTACTTTCTTCTGTAGAACAGAAAAGTAGACATAAATACTACACATTCACTATATGGCAAAGAGAGGCCAGTACTTTGTTTAACATTTTTCCTTTTGTGTTGAGCAGAAGAATGTCATGAATGGCATCAGTGATTTTGTGAGAATTTTTATTGTGAGATTATGCCTATAATATTAGCTCTAACAATTTTATTTCTGTGTTAAAAAGAGAGACAGATAAATACTCAGTGTATAGGAGTAATTCATGCTGACATGGTGAGAATGAGACGACCAGTGACCCTGTGGCGTTTTCACAGGTTCAAGGAGGACTCAGCTGTGGCTGGAGAGGGCACACAAGAACAAAGCAACAGGAGAGGTAAATCACACACAAATACTTCCACACCCATCACAGTGGCCACCTAACACCTGTTCTACACAAACCATGAATGTCACCCCATATTTTTAGAGTTTAAAATAGGGCATTCTAAGTCAATATCCTGCAGTTTTTCCTCTCTCAACCAGTAGAAAATATGGTTAACACCCGGCCATGCATGAAAAAAAAAATACCGTCATGTACCGTGAAACCGGTATAATTTTGAAAAATACCCCTGATAGAAATTTTTGGTCATACCACCCAGTACTATTTTACAGTCACATTTTACTCACCCTCATTTGGTCCAAAACCCATATGACTTACTTTCTTCTGTAGAACAGAAAAGTAGACATAAATACTACACATTCACTATATGGCAAAGAGAGGCCAGTACTTTGTTTAACATTTTTCCTTTTGTGTTGAGCAGAAGAATGTCATGAATGGCATCAGTGATTTTGTGAGAATTTTTATTGTGAGATTATGCCTATAATATTAGCTCTAACAATTTTATTTCTGTGTTAAAAAGAGAGACAGATAAATACTCAGTGTATAGGAGTAATTCATGCTGACATGGTGAGAATGAGACGACCAGTGACCCTGTGGCGTTTTCACAGGTTCAAGGAGGACTCAGCTGTGGCTGGAGAGGGCACACAAGAACAAAGCAACAGGAGAGGTAAATCACACACAAATACTTCCACACCCATCACAGTGGCCACCTAACACCTGTTCTACACAAACCATGAATGTCACCCCATATTTTTAGAGTGCCTATTACTTCATACAGCCAGCCAATAGACTAATACTCCAGCAAAAGCATAGAGTAGTTACAGGTGCACGTTTATACACATTTATTACATTTTATATTACATTTATTACACTTTGTGAAACTGTCTTTGTGGCTCTTTGGTGATGTTTTGTGCTGTGGTTTCTCAGCAGCTAGGGTGCGCAATGCCCAAGTACAGCAAGGCAGTGGACCTTCAGGTCAGCTTAAGGCATGGGACTGTGTGGGTGGGGGGTAGGGTGGGTGTGGCGAGTGTCTCTTTACCCTCCTTCACAGTTCACATTGACCCTAGTCTGAGTGCAAGCCAACAGCCGTTCCTGCGCTGATAGTTTCTAATAATAAGTTACAGTGGGAGTGTGTGTATCTGATTGGATTATCTATTATCTAAAATGCAGTTTGCTGGATAGCTGAGATAACATTTCCTCATCATTGCTTTCTGCCAGTTGCCCATCCATTATTTCAAACTTGCTTCCCAGTCATTTTGCTGACCAGAAAACATGCACCCGGCAACTCCTTGCATTCTAGACTTGAGTGATCTTTTACTCCTTAAAAACTCACAGTAAATGCAACACTAGCAACAGAAAAAAATGTTCCTGTGGCCTGCTATATGAAGCTAGCTGAACAGGTTTTGAGTTAACAATACCAAACAAATCCAGTCTGGTTTAGATCAGGTTCAGTGGGCTCACAACGCTCGATATAAACATTCTTTGTCAACTCAAAGTTTGATCCAGAGTTTGTGATTAACTCTGGAATGTGTGCACCTGAAAGTGTGACACGTGCAGCAAACAGCCAGTCACCCGGAGCTTGGAGAGCATCGGTTTGATTCACTCCTCACGAGAGTCTGCGCAATTCACATACAGGGGGAGTGGCTTTATTGCATTGGATATGTCACTTTGCTCAAAGCTGATTGGTCTAGTTTGGTTTTGCAATCTCTAACCCAGAATAAAACCTGCTCCAAAGCAAGGTAGTCATGTAGCGCAAGTTACCATGGCGACTAAACCTGCTCAAAACCAACCCACCTTCTTGAGCCCAAATAAAGAATAATCGGTTATCGGTATCAGCCAAAATTTTCATATCGGTGCATCCCTAATTCTTTGTCAACTCAAAGTTTGATCCAGAGTTTGTGATTAACACTGGAATGTGTGCACCTGAAAGTGTGACACGTGCAGCAAACAGCCAGTCACCCGGAGCTTGGAGAGCATCGGTTTGATTCACTCCTCGCGAGAGTCTGCGCAATTCACATACAGGGGGAGTGGCTTTATTGCATTGGATATGTCACTTTGCTCAAAGCTGATTGGTCTAGTTTGGTTTTGCAATCTCTAACCCAGAATAAAACCTGCTCCAAAGCAAGGAAGGTAGTCATGTAGCGCAAGTTACCATGGCGACTAAACCTGCTCAAAACCAACCCACCTTCTTGAGCCCGAAAACTCACAAACTTACCTGGGTAAAAACAACTACCACTTTATTAAATAAATTCAATGCACACAGACTGAAGTAGTTTAAGTCTTTGGTTCTTTTAATTGTGATGATTTTGGCTCACATTTAACAAAAACCCACCAATTCACTATCTCAACAAATTAGAATACTTCATAAGACCAACAAAAAACCATTTTTAGTGAATTGTTGGCCTTCTGGAAAGTATGTTCATTTACTGTACATGTACTCAATACTTGGTAGGGGCTCCTTTTGCTTTAATTACTGCCGGTGGATTGTGTTCACCGACAATGTTTTCTGGAAGTATTGCTGAGCCCATGTTGTGATTTCCATTACAGTAGCGTTCCTGTATGTGATGCAGTGCCGTCTAAGGGCCCGAAGATCACGGGCATCCAGTATGGTTTTCCGGCCTTGACCCTTACGCACAGAGATTGTTCCAGATTCTCTGAATCTTTGGATGATATTATGTACTGTAGATGATGATAACTTCAAACTTTTTGCAATTTTTCTCTTGAGAAACTCCTTTCTGATATTGCTCCACTATTGTTCGCCGCAGCATTGGGGGAATTGGTGATCCTCTGCCCATCTTGACTTCTGAGAGACACTGCCACTCTGAGAGGCTCTTTTTATACCCAATCATGTTGCCAATTGACCTAATAAGTTGCAAATTGGTCCTCCAGCTGTTCCTTATATGTACATTTACCTTTTCCGGCCTCTTATTGCTACCTGTCCCAACTTTTTTGGAATGTGTAGCTCTCATGAAATCCAAAATGAGCCAATATTTGGCATGACATTTCAAAATGTCTCACTTTCAACATTTGATATGTTATCTATATTCTATTGTGAATAAAATATAAGTTTATGAGATTTGTAAATTATTCCATTCCTTTTTTACTCACAATTTGTACAGTGTCCCAACTTTTTTGGAATTGGGTTTGTATATATATATGGGTGGGTGTATAGTTTCGTTACAGAATTGGTCTTACGTTTTCAATATTTGCAGTAAAAATGAGGCCCTGCATCCTCTGGGATGTTTTAAATGAGGACATCAGCACAGCACCTAAAATAAAATGTTATATTAATTATTTTTTAACTTTGGTGCTTTCTTTTGGGTACTTCTCAGTTCAATCCAGCAAAACTAAATGTCCTAATCAAAGATGTGTTCTGTTATGTTCAGGATTGTAGCATACTACCAATTGGCTTATACTCAAACAACATTCCGCTGCTAAGGCACAATCCTCTATCTAACATCACTCTTTCCCTAACGTAATTTTTACATTACATTTTTCTCCTGAATATTGATATTCAAAAGCTGTCGCTCATAACAAACCAAAGTACATCTTTTGCATTGAAGAAATTCTTGCTGCTTTTAATACATGCTCATTTGCTGATGTCTTGACTTTGAGTGCCTTACAGTGTCAGTGTCTACCTCACAACATTCAAGTCAAATCTCATCACAGTGCTGTCAAATCAAGGGCACATTTGCATGTTTTTCTCATCCATTCCCCTCCTCTCATCCTGAAAAGTGATGCATAGAGGGGCAATCCATCAGAATGACAGGGTGCCATCTATTACTGTGAGCCCAGGGTCATCTCTCTCCACCACAGATTTCAGATGCAGAATTGTTTTCCAAGGTCTTGCTCAACCCCACGTCACCCTTCAAGGATAAATATTGCTGTAATCTCTCTTATGCAGATGATAGCAAGAGGCCGCCCAAGGCACCAACCTTTGGGGACTTCATGGGACAGGGCAAGCCCAGACAAGGAGGCCGTGGACGAGGGAAGGGTCACGGTCAAAGCAAAAGCTACAGGTATGCAATAGTCCTTTGCATTGTGGAGAATGATCCATCTTTCAGGACCACACCAGCATTGAGCAGAGGAGTCCAGTCCTGCTCCTGAAGGGCCACTATCCTAATTAAACGCATCTGAACCAGCTAATCTTAATCTTCATGGATTACAAGAAATTTCAAGTGTGTTTGGGCCAGTTGGAGCCAAACTCTGCAAAACGTTGGCCCTCCAGGAGCAGGATTAGACATCAGTGTTCTAGCGATTTTATGATATGACTTAACTAGACCGGTTTTCTTTCCTGTGTTGATGTCTTAATAAAACAGGTGGAATTAGACATATCAGCCCTGCCCTATAAAGTCCATGCTTGGAAACTTAATTGTCTCGTGCAGGACACCAAGTGACCCTTATATGTACCATTTTTGATTGCCCCATTAAAGAGTTTGTCCCTTTTTCTAGGAGCCACTAGGCTTTAGTTATGTTCTCTAAATGTTGGCCCAGTTTCCACCTAGTAGTAAGATGCCATTTCTGTAATCTGATCACAAGTAGTCAGACAAGACACATTACAGTTTCCACCTGGTATTAACATTTGTTTCAAATGCATCTGAAGGAGATCAACCTATGTTACTTGGGTTAGCAGGAAAGGAAGCTAATGCAAAGTATGAAGGACTACATATGTGTGTTTGGTACAAAGCAGCAACATTTAAATCGCTTGTTTTGGTGTGTTCTCACATTGTGAGAAGGATCACCATTTCCACTACAACATCACATGTTTTTAGCTACCTCCATATGTGGTTTCCAGGATCCAATAAAAAAAAATAAAAAAAGGTTTTAGATCCAATTTCTACCTGTATTTAGCGTCACCACTTGTGATCAGATCACAAAAACACATCTTAATACCAGGTGGAAACAGGGTTTATGATTTGATGCCTGTTATTGCTGTTTGGCATTATAGGTAGAGAAATGTTCATTCTAGGGAGCATTTCATGAATTAATATTCATTGACCAACATCCTTCCTTCCTAAAGCATGCATGATAATCGGTGGGAAGGGGAAAATGAAGAGGAGAAAGGAAGAAAGGAGGAGCAAGAGAAGGAGAAGGATGAAGAGAAGGTCAAAGAGAAGGAAAACAAGAGCAAGGATGACACCCTCAAGGCTCCATTGTCAGACAAGGTAAGAGGCCTGAAAACACTGAGTATCATGGTACTAAGAGTTCTTTTGAAGAGCCATATGAGTGAAGGTTGCTTTTAATTAGTCTGGGTTTCAATTGTTCCTGACCTTCTCCTGCTGTGCAGAAGTCTGATGAAGGAGGCCTCGCTGAAGAAGATGATGATGAGTGGGAGGATGCCAGCGATGGTGAACAGGAAGATGTGGAAGAGGATGAAAAAGCAGATCACGAGGAAGACTCAAAAGATGCTAAACCAACAGAAAAGACCCCTACCGCTTCTGCAACCTCTACTCCCAGCCCAAAAGAGCAACGTACCCCAAGACCCAAAGTCCACATCCCTTCCCCACAGGAGACACTCAGTACACCGGAGGGACCCAAACCGCACAGCCCTTTCTCCCCACTGGACGGTCACCAGCCTGTGTCAGACTGGGGTGAAGAAATGGAGATGCTTTCTCCTAAGAGCAGTCTGGGCGAGAGCCCTCTGAGGCCCAGCAGCACTGAAAGCAGTCCAGCTCAACCTGAAAGCAGTCCAGCTGAACATAACACGGATACCACCCCCAGCCAGCCAGAAGAACCAGAAAGAAAAGAAAGTGCATCTACAGGTGGAATAATTATGGTCTTTATTTAGTACATCACAGTTTCTCTTTTTTGCAGTGTTTGCTAAGATCTGGGGTATGCTTCGTTTTTCCATCTGCCATTATGTCTCACACACGGTCAAGTGTTCTAGCTTTTTAACCTAGACTCCACTGGCAGTAACTTGTTCAGATGGATGATGTATATGCACTACGACTGTAATAGTCCTCCTGACCTGAAGAGGACAGCGCTGAGTTGTTTTCCTTATACTGTTTCAAAGTGGAGTTGTACAAACGTGGGTACTTTTTGACCTTCTCGCATATGTTACTGTTGTCAATACCCTCATCTTCCATTTTTTTAATTTCCGTTTTCTGATACTTTCTTCTATTGGTTTTTGCAAGCAACAACCCATCTGTTAGCGTTGCCCTCTAGTGGAGCCAGTTCCATGCATGTGCACCTACTGATGACAAAATGATAATTAAGTAATGCATAAGACATTGTGGCAAACAAAAAATTAAGCATACTTTAAAGTTTTAGCGACTGCATAGTAACACACTATATATATACACACATAGCAAATCTAAAAACTATAACTATTTTAGCGTGTGCTGAGCTAAAGATGATCACCGGTAAACTGAAGCGCTCTTTTAACTTAACCAAACGCATTCTATATGAGATAAATCAGATATACATCAAATAAACACAATATTACAATGTACAATTGCACAAAAGGCTGCAAGCGAACAGCGCGCATCTGAAGTGTCTCTGAAGGAAATAATGCATTATTTATCGGCTTTAAGATATCGGCCAAATTTTCTTATCAGGCCGATACCGATAACAGAAAAAATGAGCCGATATGGGCCGATACCGATATGGTGGCCGATATATCGTGCATCCCTAATATATACACACATAGCAAATCTAAAAACTATAACTATTTTTAAAAAATTAATTGAAATGAAGCAGAAATTAAATAAAATATAAATATTAGATGAAAAACTTGAAAACTTTTTTCACTGTTTGTCAGAGTGACTTTGTTATCTTAGTAGTGAAACCTAAGTGTCTTTTCACATTCAGTGGTGGAGTCAGCTTCCTGTGAAACACAAAAGGAGCCGGTACCAGCTGAATCTGCTGACACAACCACCTCGAGCAGCCATGATACAGGAGATCCTGTAGTGCCACCCACCACAGACAGCATCAACCAGAGCAGTAAGTCAAAACAATTCATTAACTTTTTATGATTTCCTCCAAATGAATCATTAATTGTACTCCTATATATCCTGTTTATTCTCTGATTCAGAGGACAGCGACGCCCCCACTATAGAGCTGGATCAGAGTCAGCCTGAAACTAAGGTTGGGGAGGAAACAGCAGTGGATTCTTCAGATCAACCCTCCTCAGGTGCTGTTCTTATTACCAGCTTTGAGACGGTGGAATTTCGAAAGAAATCCCTTACTTCAGCTGGCTTCTAACTAACCGACGTCCTCCCCTTTTCTTCGCACACTTCAGTCTTTCTGGTCTCTCTGTCTCTCCCTCCCTGTTCACTACACTCATGTCTCCTTTACGTTCCCGTGTCCATCTGTCTCATGGCATGAGATGGCATCTGCTGTTGAGCTTGTTTCTATCGTCTTTGACAAATGAGAATGCAGCTCTTCAGGCTATGACAGTCCTCCCCCTCCTCTGGGACTGACTGCTTCTGTCTGCAGCTTCACACTTGCTGTCATTCTCCACTGTGAACCTTGTACACCTCCTCCAGCATGACTAAAATCCCGCGTTTATTGTGCTCCCGGATCCCCTTTTTGTCATTCATGCACCTCTTTGATTTCACACCTTTCCCTGGATGACATGTTTGGATTTGGGTTATGGCTTTTTCCCCTTTCATGCATGTAACAAACTGCTTGAGCAAATAAGTGTTGTTTTGATTTTTATTCAATTTTTGCAAAAGCATATATATGTGAGAGTGTGTGGACCGCAAACAGGAATGATCTATAACATCATCCCAACAGAATCCCATTTGATCGCCGTTTAGGATCATTATCATTGAGGGGAAAGCAGCTTGCAGAGATGAATTACACCGGGTAAACCTAATGTGGTTCCAGAGACTGTATAGCATCTTATTAAATTTCATGTCATTTTAATGTTTATCATGTATGAATGTTTATCAAGCCACACAGAATGAATGTATCAAGTTCACCAGAGTGCAAATGAGAGTACTTTTAAATCCATTGTTTATTCATATAGACTTAAAAATAAGTCCTCTGAGATGATCAGGGTTCCTGCTGTTTTAGAAAACCTGGAAATATCAGGACATTTTTTAGAATGATGCTTAACTGGTCTAGAAAATGAATAAAATCTTTAAAACCATGTAAATTTGTGAATAATCTTCTAGTTATGCTGTTTAAAATTATTTCATAAGATAGACTTTTTACTGGAGTCTTTTTACTAATTTTAAATAAAAGATTTGATATGTGACTGGTTTGGATGTTTGGATGGGTGTATGGTGGCCCAGAAGGCATTCAAACCGCATTCAAATCTTATTTTATGTGTTACTTGCTATCTGACATAGACTTAAATATGCCACAGTAATCTCATTAAAATGATTTTTAAGATTCCTTATCCAGTAATAGTGAAAAACTGGAAATGTCATGGAAATTCATTGTTTAAAAGAACCCAGGATTACACTCATTTGCAGAGCAAAGAGGAAAAACAAAACCAGCCCAAAATTATGAAAGAAAAATTAAATGTGGTGGCTTTTATCCTCATCAGTTTGTTTTTTCTAAAGTCTGAAATTTGAATCATCTCTCCTTTTTATTGCCCTTTTAATTTGCGGTCACATTCACCGTTCAGCAATGTTCACAGGCAAATCCAATAATTTCAGTAGGAATCCACGCAATCTAGAATTTAGTGTGAAAGCGAAGTATTTGCCCGCACAGATTTCACAATGGGTTTAAGTTGGTCATGCAAATTTGCCATGTTGATCAAAGCAAAGCGGCTTGGTTTGATTAAGAAAATGGCTTTAGTGTGAGTGTTGCTTCATACATCTCTCCACTATTGACAATAGACAGTGGACCTTTAGTTTCTGTGAAATTTTGCCGAAATATCACTGATGTGACTGCACCTTAGTTTGTACAAACTACTCTGTGTCTGTAGGATTTTTACTTATACAAGTGATGAATTTGTAGTTTATACTGTTGAGATTTGGCACAGTGCTGGAATGGCGAATAAATGTTGTGCTGCTCATTACTTCTGATTGTCTCCCTTTCCCTTTTGAATTGAGGAACCACTCCTAAGTGTTTTGTGTTTCATGAATGTTTGATGTCACAGCCACTCCATTGCCAAAGGCTCAACCCTGTCACTCAATCATTTGGGATCTCTGTCCTTCTCCACCTGCTCCTGCTTATTGCCATTACATCATACCAGTTTATTATGCAATTAACTCCTCATTAGCAACTAATGAGTGGATGTGATTTCTTGCCAATTCCTTCATTCAGATTTCCATTGTCCACATGCACCCTGGAAATCAACACAAACTAATGGCTCAATAACAAGATTCTTGTATTTCCTTTAATTTGATCACTCTTCTACATTTAGCCTGTTTAACAGGAGGAAACATCCAGGAAAATTGTATTGCTAAAAATGCTTTTATGAGCAAACTGCAGTCGGCTTTCAGATCAGAGCGGTAATGAAACCCTTAGAAAATCCAATGTACTTTTTTGTCTTGAAACAGTACATACTTTTTTGCTTTTTTGTCAAACAAACCATCTGAAATGGTGGTTTAGAATCTGCTTCTACTTATATCACTCATACTGGGTGTTTTCATGTTAATGTTTTCATCCTGACTGCTTTATATATATATCAACAGGCTGAGGACTAAATGCAGTAGGTGAACTCGTTGCTTCACAAACTGGAATAGGAGGTAAGAAGAGGAAAGAGAAGACATCAGGGGCCTGTACCATGAAGCCAGATTAGCTGGCTAGCCAGGTAAGTTTCAGTTTAGTTTGCACCAATCCTGGGTTTTAGGTACCATGAAAGTCGCTTGGCTTTTAGCGGCATTCATTGCCTTAGTAACTTACACTCCACAGCTAACCTGCTCTGCAGCAGGTTATGTTCTGGTTTAGAGATCTCAAAGCGAAATTTGACCAATCAGCTCCAAGCAAAGTGACTCATGTCTTGCATGATAAAGCCACTCCCCCAGTTTCTCTTACTCCAAATTAAAGGACGATACATAGTAAAACATTTTTAAAGATAAAATTGTCTGAATTTAGCGATGATTTTTTAAAATTATTTTATGATTTATATAATTATACCTTTAATCCATTACACAAGCTAGCTTAGTTTAATAGTAATAATTAAGCTTTTATTTTAAATTAATATAAACATAGATAATATGCAATATAAATGTTTTAGAAACAATAGCTTTAAACATGATTGCATATGAACTTGGATTTAAGTTTTTTTTTTTTATATATATATATATATATAAATATGATCAACTCTATGAACTAACCTTACAACTTTTACTTGCACTTATAAGGCAAGATGTTTTCTTTAAGTTGTCCTCTTTCATGGATAGATCGTTTCATCTTGTAAATGTTTAAATTCTTCTTATTGTTCAATATTTTAATCTTTAGTAGTGAGTCGCACTGATTTTCTCAATTTTTTTTATATATATATATACCTATAAATATGATCAACTCTATGAACTAACCTTACAACTTTTACTTGCACTTATAAGGCAAGATGTTTTCTTTAAGTTGTCCTCTTTCATGGATAGATCGTTTCATCTTGTAAATGTTTAAATTCTTCTTATTGTTCAATATTTTAATCTTTAGTAGTGAGTCGCACTGATTTTCTCAAGAAGTGCATCACAGTTTCAAGGCATCTGATTGGCTGTTCATTACTGATGTCACTCTTTCATGTGCACGTGCTCTAACTCAGGATCAAGCCTGAGTTGACAAAGTTGATGATGAGCTTCATGGTACCAACAAAGCCGGATTGGACTGGTTTGGTTTTGTCAACTCAAAACTAATCCTGTAACCCCGCATTTGTTCAGCCACCATCATGGTACAGGCTCCAGGTGTAATGGACGACTGTTGACTGTAAATTAAAGAGGTCGAGGGGGCATCTTTGGATCCCTGTCAGCGCTTCATCCAAACAACGTTCTGTATTGTTTAATTGTTCCTCATTGCTTGGGACTATGCTGTTGTCGAGCTAAGCTGCTGCTCTTTTCTCACATTTACCCTGGGATCAATCTGTAAAGCATGTTATTCTCAAACCATAAGAATGTTTTTTGATGATGGAGCGGTGTTGTTTAACCACCCTAGACCACAAGGACACAAATTTTTGGCACAACAGCACTCCGATATATGATATCTGAGCTCAAATGTATCTTTGAAGGTCGATAAGGAAAATATTAAGATGTATTTATTGCTAAGAGTGGCATGCTTCACTTTTTGCAATCCCTTTGTAAACTAGGGCTTTTTTTTCTCTCTCTCTCTCTCAGAGCTACTTTTGAAATGAAGATGAGCTGTGGATTTTAAGTTTTCTATAAACTATTGGTACATGTGCTCACTGACCAAAGATAAAATCATGGTGAATTGTAAAGAGTTTGAATGAAGAAAACTAAACAATTGGGACAGCAGAGATTGTGTACCTAATTGCTATCAAATCTGATATTGGTTTATTGACCTTTTTTTTTATGTTTCTTTAGTAATCCTATGCATTTATCGCAGGTGTATTTGTGTGTTCCTGAATTTGAATGAACCGAGCAGGAGCTTGAAAACTTGCAATATATACATGTGTGTACGTATGTGTCTTTTAGACTGACAGACATTCCAATGCTTTGTGTGAGTGCTTGTTTCTCTTTACATGTGCATTGTATAACGGAGCAGAAATAATCATGACATTTGTGATTGTAACATACCTGCTGCATCTCCCTGTAGATGAAATGTCTTCCTGTTTGGGTAGAAAATGTGTATATATAATTGGTTTTGCCTCTTGTAGGAGGTTTGGTTTGGCTTTTCAGAAGTGCACGTAGCATGATACTGAAGTGTTTGTAGGATTTTCCTCCAAAATGTTCTTCTAAGACATGCAATTTTTTTTCTTTTTCTTTTTTTTTTTTAAACTTACTGGAGAAATTTCTTGGTTGCTTTTATCACTGTATTATCATGTGTGAACTGTAAGCAGTGCAACTGTTTCTGTACTTTGTAAGCTGTCATATCAAATAAATGACATATTTGCCTTATGTATTGATTCATATTTGGCTCGATGTTGTTTTTTGGAAGACCAGGGTAATCAAACTGTTTTGTTTTTTTTCACAAATCAATTTTTAATGTTACTGGTATATCGGATTTTGGACTTTTTTAGAAAAAAATATAAATGTGTTAGCACTAAGAATTCATAATGTAAAAGATGATACATGCTTTTTACTTATATAATAAAATGTAAATGAATACAGGTGCATCTCAATAAATTAGAATGTCGTGGAAAAGTTCATTTATTTCAGTAATTCAACTCAAATTGTCTTCAGTCTGTGTGCACTGAATTTATTTAATACACGAGTTTCACAATTTGAGTTGAATTACTGAAATGAATTTTTCCACGACATTCTAATTTATTGAGATGCACCTGTATATTATAAATTCTTGGTATAAGATAACTGATTACTTAATTCTTAACATTTACAGTATATTTGCGTTGTCTTTTAAAATATTACCATAAAGTGATTTACAGTTAAGCAAGTATTACTGTAGCACTCTTTCACATTATTTTCCTATTAAAATTACTAACCATTTTCCAGAGTACATTACTGAAAACGAAAAGATCAACTCAAAAGGCAATTAAATTCACTAATATATTTTAGTAGTCAATATAAAATAAAATGTCATATCTAATAAGCCAAAATCATCACAATTAAAAGAACCAAAAACTTAAACTACTTCAGTCTGTGTGCACTGAATTTATTTAATACACGAGTTTCACAATTTGAGTTGAATTACTGAAATGAATTTTTCCACGACGTTCTAATTTATTGAGATGCACCTGTATAATATAAATTCTTGGTATAAGATAACTGATTACTTAATTCTTAACATTTACAGTATATTTGCGTTGTCTTTTAAAATATTACCATAAAGTGATTTACAGTTAAGCACTACTGTAAAATAATGTAAAATCTATATTATACATGATACATTTACTCCTTTAAAGCAAAATATTGCAAGTAAAAACTAAGCACCTTATAACAAATGAAAAAATTGTACAAGGATGTTCCAAAAACCTCTGCATGACACATTTTTTACTTGAAATAGTTACATTTCACATTATTTTTTATCATCATTAGGGTGTTTTATGATACATTTTATGTTGTTCAGTTAATTTTAATTGCTTTATTTGATGTGTTTTGCTTTTTTAGGATGGAATATAAATCTTTAGTTATGTGGGATGTAAATGTATGTATTTATAACCTCCATACGGGAATCTGGGCCCTTTTCCATTTTAAAATAACATCTAGAAACTGTTGTGGACCTCTATGGATCTTTCACTTCACAAGCTCCGGCTCCGGCTCTGGCTACAGTCTCAGTTTAGTTTTAGTTTAATTTATAATAATACGGGATTTGTTATTGTTTTATAGTAGCCTATTTGAATAACAATGGGGTTTTGTTGTATTAGTTCACTTTGCAATAATCTGCATATTGACGTTTGGCTTATGTAGCAGATTTTGAATAATTTCCATATTTAAATGTTAAAGTTATTTTCGACTGAAAAAGAACTTGAGTTCAAATGCTATAGTAATCATGTTAACTAAGTTACTTTACTGTATATGTTAAAAAGAAGCCTATAATTTTATATAAATAGCACAGTTATACTGTAAAATAATGTAAAATCTATATTATACATGATACATTTACTCCTTTAAAGCAAAATATTGCAAGTAAAAACTAAGCACCTTATAACAAATGAAAAAATTGTACAAGGATGTTCCAAAAACCTCTGCATGACACATTTTTTACTTGAAATAGTTACATTTCACATTATTTTTTATCATCATTAGGGTGTTTTATGATACATTTTATGTTGTTCAGTTAATTGTAATTGCTTTATTTGATGTGTTTTGCTTTTTTTAGGATGGAATATAAATCTTTAGTTATGTGGGATGTAAATGTATGTATTTATAACCTCCATACGGGAATCTGGGCCCTTTTCCATTTTAAAATAACATCTAGAAACTGTTGTGGACCTCTATGGATCTTTCACTTCACAAGCTCCGGCTCCGGCTCTGGCTACAGTCTCAGTTTAGTTTTAGTTTAATTTATTTATTTGGAAAGGGACCATATACAATATTTAACGTAAATGTTTCCATTTAATGCACTGTACCAGATTTAGCCGGCTAACTTTCATCCACATTAAGAGATTGTTGCTTTGTGTGATCTTTGCTGACTGGACTTCAAAACCAAAGTCACCAGAATTACTATTATTTTACCCTCTTTGATTGTAAAAGTTGAATGAGGAAAAGGTTCTTTGAGGTCTGTTCTTGAGTGTGCATTACGTGATTGGTTCTCTTAAAGCAACCTCTTTTGTCTTCCTGCAGTTGAATGTTATTTTATATTTACATCATCTCTGTGCAGTTAATCTGCCTGTTTTAATGGGAAATTACATAGGCTATATGGTTCACTCACCAGATAACTCATAACAAATGATTTATGACTAGAATTTTTTACAATGAGTGTTAGATATGTCTGTCTTAGCTTTCTGTAATGGACAGTTATCATTATGATTTGATTATGCTGTTTCTCCTAATTAGAGCAGATTGGATGTGATGATAAGAACATGCTGTATTTTACCATACAGTAAATCAGATATGGATTTATTATCTTCTTGATCGTGCCATTTCCTACTGTTAGTCTCTGTCAGTGTGTAACGTAAATGTTTCCATTTAATGCACTGTACCAGATTTAGCCGGCTAACTTTCATCCACATTAAGAGATTGTTGCTTTGTGTGATCTTTGCTGACTGGACTTCAAAACCAAAGTCACCAGAATTACTATTATTTTACCCTCTTTGATTGTAAAAGTTGAATGAGGAAAAGGTTCTTTGAGGTCTGTTCTTGAGTGTGCATTACGTGATTGGTTCTCTTAAAGCAACCTCTTTTGTCTTCCTGCAGTTGAATGTTATTTTATATTTACATCATCTCTGTGCAGTTAATCTGCCAGTTTTAATGGGAAATTACATGGGCTATATGGTTCACTCACCAGATAACTCATAACAAATGATTTATGACTAGAATTTTTTACAGTGAGTGTTAGATATGTCTGTCTTAGCTTTCTGTAATGGACAGTTATCATTACGATTTGATTATGCTGTTTCTCCTAATTAGAGCAGATTGGATGTGATGATAAGAACATGCTGTATTTTACCATACAGTAAATCAGATATGGATTTATCATCTTCTTGATCGTGCCATTTCTTACTGTTAGTCTCTGTCAGTGTATCTGTGTGCATTTGCTTGATGAGTGAATCTACTAGAGACACTGTGTCTTTTAACTTGCTCAATAATTAAACAGAACTGAAAGTTGTCAGGACATATGTGATCTCCCTCTGTTCATACTTGCAGCAGAGGTATTGGAAAGTTACAATGTTCTCCAGTGAGATACAGATAAATAAAGACTTGTAAAATGGGACAGATGTCTTGCACACCTTAACACAACAGCACTGAAGTTGCAGCAAACTAACACTGGCCACGTTTACATGCATGCTTTTCTGATTAATGTCAATCTTGTAGTCTGAAAATGGTGTCTGTGTATGTTCTGCAGTAAGTAGAATATTTCTGTAAATATGCAAGGGATATTCCCTGCTGTTATATGTTCTGGAAATATTATACTAGTTATTGCTATTTGTTGCTTTGCATCTCAGTCATTTAATCAACTCTTTCATTCTTGTTCATGTAATGGGAACAGACAGGAACATGATGAACTGCAAAATGAAAACTAAAATAAAAATAAATAAAAAAAACGAAACTAAACTAAATAAATATTTTTTAATGTGACTCCAAAAATGTTTGGCAGATATGGTACATATCTTATATCAATGCACATTTTGCCCCATGTGTTCATTTAGGAAGGATTGGCATTTAAGATCACCATGTTCTGAACCCAATTACCACACAGCTTTCAATATGCAAACACTAATTATGCATAATTGTTTGCAAAAGAAGGTATAAAAGGGCCACAGGTGAGTTTATTTGTTTGGGAACAAAAGACACAAACTAAAGAAGAAAATGCACATGTAAGCATATAACTGAAAAGGTGCAAGGGCAATGAGAGAAGATCACTGGTTTCTGATGTGATTTGTGTTGATAGTTGAACTTGGCTGCACAATGACAATAAGAAAAGTTGAGCAGACACTACAGCCAAACTGAAACCACTTTCCTGTAGTGTCTAGACATAGGTTAATTCATTCACACCAAGAATAATAATTACACATCAGCGCAGATGGATTCTGAGAGTCTGTTAATGTTTTTATTGTTCATCAGCTGGGAAAAAAAATAGTTTTGAGTGTAATTCCAACAATATCGTTAATCTGTGTTGTTTATATAGGCTAGATGTGCTGTGGATTCTGTTATTCTTTTAAATTTAGAACGATGTTTATATCCGTATGGATAGTTGTTGTCCTGGGTGTGAATGGGCCATTACTGTACATGAACTTGAATTACATTCAATTTTGGTAAAAAAAAAAAAAAAAAGCCAGCACATTAGTAGGCCAACCTGTTCTATTTTTGCAGAAATGTGAATTAGCAAGCTCAAGGAGGAAGTGAGAAACTGCAATTAGCACCATGGTCGTAGTCCACATGTTATTTTGTAAGAGAAACTCAGACTGTGTTGCAAGGAGCTGACAAAATAGTTTTTTAGCAATCTTTTGGCACTCTACATTTTCTGCATTCATGCCACCTTGGCCTATGTGGCAGATTTGTTGGCTGTTCTCATTTGTTTTTGGAATAATTAGTCGTCAAAAGCAGAGGAAGCAGAGTGGTCATGCTTTGTGCCCGTTTCCACAGCACACTGTCCTGTAGGGAGATTAGCTGGGAGTCTTGCCAGGGGTGGATAAGGAAGGTAATTCCCCTATGGCTTGCTGGTCAGGGCTACAATGTGATATAGATGACATTCTGAATGCTTCCTAATGTAGAGGAAATTCATTCCAATTATTTTTAAATCAGTGAAGTTCA